AAAAAAAAAAAAAAAAAAAAACTTGCTTGTTTTGAACGATACATTCATACCACTGGAGAGATCGTATTTCTTTCTGAAATACAGGCTCAACCTGACTGAGATCTACCTTGTCGGCTGGCCATAATCTGCATTCTCCACCATTGTCCTGAAAGTTTCGTATATTTACGTGGTTCTTGATTTTTGCTAAATACATTAATTTTATACTTCGAATTCAGACTGAAACTGACTAATAATTTGCGGTAGTCTACGTGACAGCTATCAATTTGATTCACTCCTAGTAGGTCTTTTTGTTTGCAGATTCGTTCAGATACGTAAAAGGGAAGGATGGGTCGTCCTCCTTTTATCCTGAAAATGAGTGGTATTTTAGGATAGTTTAATTTCAGTTTTAGAATTTAGTATTCCCATTTTCATCATTTCACTGCAATTTGAGGTTCATTTTACCTATAAACGGCCAGCATTGCGAACAAATTATTTTACTCTTAAAAATATAATGAGCAGTGATATGTAGTTTATTTCTGTAAGCCGATAGAAATTACGATTATTAAAATATGCCAATGGCTGGAGTTGATTTATACTCGTAAACTTCGTATTGATAATTTTTGGATATCCTTACAGTTTACGCATAATTTAAAAAAAGCTTAAAATATACTCGAACGGACTGATATTGCACTTCTTAACTCCACCATATCCACAGCTTTGTCTGTAAGAGCACATTCCACAAGCATTCCTGTTGATGAGCACAGATGCCATATAAGAATAAAAACTTTGCAATGCTTTACCGTAGCGTTGATTAATGAATTTATAAAACCAATGTTGCTGACATATTGGTGATATTTGATTGATATACGTCGTCTAAAAATTAAATCTGCTCAATTACTGTGCATGTAATACTTGGAAAAGTATGCTGACAGTAAAAGCAAAGATGCAAATTAAAATTAAAACAGTATATTTATTCTTATTCTTTGCTACTATTAAAAATTAATAGATATATTAATGAATTGTTTGATATGGCAAACGTTGAACTGCCTATCAGGCCAAATGCAAGGCCCCCAAGTACTCCAATTCGAGCAGTCTTTGCTTTGCGATACTTCCGAAAAAATCGCTGCTAACTGCGAAAATACTGAAATTTTATTTGACTTTAGTTTAGCTTAAAAATAATCAAATTAGATGGAAAGTTTTTGCTTGTCAAAAATTCAATGCAAATCAAGAAGAAAGTTTTGCCAACATTTTTGTTTCATTTTATGATAAAACATTTTACTGAAAAAAAGTGCTGTATGTTACCGGATTTGATTAGAGTAAGAATTAGTACTTTGGTTATATTCATAGATTGCACTGGTAAATCTCTTGCACTGAGCTATAATATACGCTATCATTTTGCTTGTATATTAACAATATTAACAAGCAATTACTTGTTAAAAGTAACAAAAGTAATCAAATACTCATATATGAAATAGAAAAAAAATCTCAAAGTGCTTGTGGGATATATTGCGAATTCCCACAGTGAAATTGGAAATAGGTTATATTTACTGAAGAATGAGTAGAAGACAAAATTATTATCACTTCTTGTGTTGGTTCGAAGGGACGATCACATCATGACTGATGTTTAAAAACGATTGTTAAGTTGAACGACCTTTTGAACTGTCTCTTCGAGCTATTAACTAACAAATTATATTTTTCTCTGCAAAAACCAAATATTATAAATGCCAATGACGTACACATAATTCACGCATGACTTAGAATACTACTTCAATTTTTCCCTGGTCTAGATTGACTCTTCAAGAATTTACTAACAAAAATGATTCAATCCGAAAACTGAAAAAAAAATTTGCTATTTACCAAATAAAATGTGAACTCAACTCTTGTTCTACTTTTAAATACTTTCAAT